TTAATTAAAGCGTATGTAATCAAATATGCCTTGTCCAAATATAATTATGTTGATTCGTATACCACGTCTGTGTGTCAGATACGCCCAAATTTGGTCGTCTCTAGATGCAATCTACAATTTTATGGATCTACTAGTTGCTATACCCGCTACTTCTCTTTAAATAGGTATGTCAAAATCGCGCTACCTGTCCGGTAAGTAGGTTCAGGTCGAACGTGAACTTTCTTCAAGTTGAAGGCAAGAGTAAGGGGTTCTCTGCTCAACTGTGCATAAAAACACTTAAATTATTAATTTATACAATATGACCATCAATTTTGGACCCACTTTGATGATTTTTTTTTAGTCTAAAATGTTTACTCTCCCATATTATTCCTATCAAAACCTTAATTAGTCAATTTCCAATATTTCTTTCATGTTTTTTTTTTTTTTTTATAAGTCTTTAAATATGACGATGGCGAGTCATATGACGGTATAAAGATAGATTTTACTATTAAAATTGTTTTGTTTTTTTTTTACTAAATATCGACAACAAGCAACAGCATCGTTCAAATTGCTACGAGTCGGTAATAAAGTTATTTGAACGACTGCTCCACTTTCGGTCTAGTAATAAATTGAGATGCATTGTCTGCTAAATTCTATATGTGGTTGCAATTATATGCCATTTGCACGTTCAAACATGGCGGGTCACCGACGGTCATGAACACGCACGGCTCGCGTTATTATCCATACATAATAATCATGGATATCAAATTAAATAGATAGCGCTACTGCAAATAAATTGTGTGTTAATTTTAGGGCTCAAAGTACCTATACGTACAAAACACTTACAACGTTTCGTGGCGGGTCACCGATGTTCAATGAACACGCACGGCTCGCGTTATTATCCATAATCATGGATATCCATTGAAATAGATATCGCAACTGTAAATAAATTAAGTGTTAATTTTAGGACTTAATGTCGTTAAGTATAGAAAGTACTTATAAGGTATCATGGCAAGTCATCGATGATCGTGAACACGCACGGCCTGCTTTATCCACCCTTACTAATATATAAATGTGAATGTGAGTTTGTTTGTTTATCACTTTATAGCACTTTAAAGACTTAATCAATCACTACGAAATTTGGTATTCAAGTACTATATGGGATGGAGGCTATTGTTTATCCCGATAAGTAAACATATCCTGGTCACCCAGACGATGCCATGGGTAAAAGCTAATAGATATTAATCATGGTTATCAAATTAAATTAAATTCACCAGAGGGAGACTTTGTACAAAAGTCGATTGCTTGGGTACATCTGTCCCATTCGTGTTTCTACCGTGAAGCAGTTGTGTTTGCATGACTGTGTTTCGGTTTGAAGGGTGAGATATGGCGAGAATTTACAGGGTACAGAGGAATAACACCTGAGTACTCAGGAATAGCAACGCATGGAGGGGTATCATGGGCGAAACAGTATACTTTGTTATGGTCATGGTACTGCTCATGTCTATAGGCGACGGTTACCACTTTCCATCAGGTGAGCCGTCAGCTTGTTTGACATTCTAAGCTGTATAAAACAAAATATCGCTACTGCATGCATTTTGTAATTTTTATTTCTAATTATCTAGGCATGTAAGACGCTTATAACGTTTTAGAAATGTTGTGTGTGGCCATATTTTAAAACATCTACTTTGACCTTTCGTATTTATTCAACGTTATTATTATATTATTATGTCCAATCTCTTCGTGGCCACTTCTAGTACAACGTAATCAAGAAAGGAGTTGTTAGTACCGAATTCGCAAAGCTACATTGCTAGCAATATATCAAGTTAACCTGCATGCGGTTCCTCCTGGAAACCAACGTGGTTAATTCTTGTTGAATTCTTCATGATGGGCCAACTGATCTGCCTTCATCCTCACCTATCACTGGGCACCAGTGATACCGATAGCACAGGCAGTGTTAACATTCCATTTTTACGTATTAAAAAAAATTAACGAAATCAAAACGTTAGTAAGATAAACACTATACCCCTACTATAAAATAATTCGTGTTACATACAATCTGTTAAACCATTTTCGATTCATTGTTTTTTTTTTCATTGTTTTGATTCATTGTTTTTGTGAAAATGTCGAAAACATTTATAGGAGTTACACAAACAGCGTATGTCAATAATAAACAGTGTTTAAAATCACTCTATATTAAAGAACTAATATAGAGCAAGACGCTTAGTTTACATTAATTGAAATTAAAAATTTATTTCATTTAAGTAGGTAGTTAGAAAAGTTCCAAATCGTCATTTTTTCATGTAAATTGAGTCATCTATACCTATGTATGTCTGTGGATAATACGAACAATGCTTGTACCGATATAATAATGATCAGCGTCTGATTATAGTTGAATTGTTATTGTGTACCTGTAGTGAAGTACACATTTTGACTCACTGGATAACTCAAAAAGTCATTGAGTATGAAAACCGTGACCTAATTGCTACTCAACTCATGACGTCCAAAGGTTATAATTATTTTACGCCCTTCATCATTACCAACTGCAGAGAGAATATCTAATAATTTATTAAATAATAATTAAGATTAAGAAATATAATTAATAATTAAGATTAAGAAATTTAATTGATTAATTAATTAATTAATTAAAATAAATTAATGAATTACTTAATATAAGAAATGTTAATTTAATTATTGTCAATTTAATTAATTACTTAATAAACAATGATTTAATCACTAATTTGTTAATTGAAACCTATACGTACATTTGTGTGTTTCTCTCCGAAATAAATTGGCGAACCAAACAACAATAAACAATAGATTTTTTTTTTAAATTAATTTCTATATTTTCTATAACTATAAGAATTCTCTTCAGCTTTATTCGCCTGAATTTAATTAAAAAGTAATATGTGTAAATCTAGGATAGTCTTTCTATAGAACCAACACTAGAATAAACCACATTAATTGCAAAAATAATCATCAAAATCGACGAAGGCATCGCGTAGCATACACAAAAAAGAACCATTGAATTTAAGTCTCATACTTTTAGTTATTTTAGTAGTTTAGAAGTTATTGAGAACTCGCTTGCAATCTGTTTGAACAAACTTGAGGCAAACATTATTAATTGAGTATTATGAACCCGGATTATAAAAGCTAGCTGGGCCAGTCAATCCGATTAGGTAATACGTGCCAGTAAACGTTTGCATGTAAGTGCATACGTTATCTCATTGGCCAATCATACCAAGGTATTGAGCACAAGGATACGATAACTGAGAGATTGGTATACTGCAGCGGAGTGCAACATAATGAGACAGAGGTGAGCATTGCTGACATGCGCTCGACCCACATGACACAATTGTGATCAGTAACGCTCTATATAGGCTAATGTTAAGGTTTTGTCTATTATTAGTCTTTACACATCTTTACTCTTATAAATTTTAATGTAAAGTTGTTGGTTTATTTGTTACCTCTCGGCTATTTTTTTTTATACAACTTAGAATGGCAAACAAGCTGACGGCCCACCTGATGGAAAGTGGTAACCGTCGCCTATAGATATGAACAGTACCATGGATATAACAGAGTATACTGTTTCGCCCATGATACCTCCCATGCGTTGCCATTCCTGAGGACTCAGATGTTATTCCTCTGTACCCAGTAAATTCACGCCATATCTCACCCTTCAAACCTTGCCATGCAAACACAACTGCTTCTCGGTAGAAACACGAACGGGACAGAGGTATCCAAGCAATCGACTTTTGTACAAAGTCTCCCTCTGGTGAGGCTTATTTAATGACTGAACCACTTGTCAGGAACTTACTATAACATATATATTTTTTATGCGACTTGAAATGGCTAACGAGCTGACCGTCCACCTGATGGAAAGTGGTAAACGTCGTTTATAGACTTGAATAGTACCGTGGATATAAAGGGTATGTATGTTGTCCGCTAAACACTTTATGTGTTGCCATTTCTGAGGACTTAGGTGTATTGCCTCTGTACCCTGTAATCTCATTGCCATATTCTATCTTCCAATCGAAACACAGCCATAAAAACACAACGGTTTAACGGCAGAAACACGAATAGGACAGATGTACCTAAATAGACGACTTTGTGCAAAGTCTCCCTCTGGTTAAAGTATAGTATTTGAACTATTTGGAATGAAGAAGGCTATTTTGTGTTTTTTTTTTTTAATTAAAAAGTTTTAAAAATCCTGATAAATGGATCGTCGGAGACCATCTGAAACTTTCACATAGACTTTTAGTTAACGGGTGACGTGCTGAAACCGACGTCAAAAATAGAATGAACATCAGTGGTAGCATACTAATTTTGACAAAATTCGAAGTCTTTTTTCAACCGACTTCAAAAAGAAAAAGGTTCTCGATTTGGTTGTATTTTTATTTATGCTTGTCACCTCATAATTCCATCAGTTATAAATTCGGATTCATTTTTTTTAATTAAAAAGAAATCAGAATATTCTTTTTTTTATCTGCCAGAGGGAGACTTTGTACAAAAGTCGATTGCTTGGGTACCTCTGTCCCATTCGTGTTTCTACCGTAAAGCAGTTGTGTTTGCATGGCTGTGTTTCGATTTAAAGGGTGGGATATGGCGTAAATTTACAGGGTACAGAGGAATAACATCTAAGTCCTCAGGAATGGCAACGCATGGGGAGTATCATGGGCGAAACAGTATACTCTGTTATGTCCATGGTACTGCTCATGTCTATAGGCGACGATTACCACTTTCCATCAGGTGGGCCGTCAGGTTGTTTGCCATTCTAAGTTGTATATAAAAAATATACTTACAGCTTGATTCTGTAGAAATTTTATGAAAATTTAATTAGTAGTTTAGTTTTTAAATCAAAATAACTGGTTTTATCTCGATCGAAATCGGTTTTTTTTTGTGAAATTATTTTTGTAATAATCATAAATACAATAGACACATTGTTTGTGATTTGTATCTTGTCGAGTCAAATTAAGTATTACTCGTGTCCTGTGTCTATCTATGTTTTCTTCTTGTTCCAGTCAATACACGATAAAAGATTAAATAATCGCGTGGACGTGATGCTGCAAGAGGGCCTCATACAGGAGTTATTGGACTTTCACGCCAAACATAACATGCACAGGATAAAAGATGGAAAGTAAGTGTTGAAACAGTTTAAAAGAATTATTTAAATATAATAAAATTAGTTATTTGAATTAAATATAATTAAATTAAAGTATAATTAAACTAAACAAAATTAAATTATTTACATTAAAATATACAAAATAAAATTCATTAAATTAAATTTTAAAATGTAATTTCTTAATTAAATTACTTAAATTTAATTATCTAAATATTAAATGTTAGGGTGTATGATAGATTTCCCAGTTTTATAATGAATATAAATAATAGACTTTAATAATAATAATTGAATTAGTTGCACCGACAAGAGGGAACTCTTAAATGAAAAAAAAAAATAATATATTGCTTCCGTATATTTGATAGAAAATTATGTAATAAAAAAAGGAAAGAACATCAGTCAGATAAAAATATATGCTTAATAAAATAAAATAAAAGGTTGCAATCTCAACATCAACATGCCTAATTAATGATTTTGACAAAAAAAAACGTTTAATTTTTAAATCTACGTTCATTCATTAAATTGCCGTTATCCAGTTATAAAAAAGAGGGAGTTCCGAATTCGACTGTGATATACTTATTTTTGTGCGTATATTATGTTACGTCGAATTATAAACCGTTTTTTATTATATTCTTACTGTATTCCATACAGTTGTTTGTAGGAGAGAACTAGTAAACAACAGACAGCAAAACAGACGCTATATGTATAATTTTAAGAAACAAAGGGCATTCGATCCACGCAAATTATCCGTGAAATTAAACTGTGTTAACGAAACATTCCGATCGCGGCCGATCGGACCATCGACAATAGTAAAAATTATTATAAAAAATAAAGAAAAAAAGTTGCACAAAACCAAGATGGCGGGTGGGCAATGGCCGCGGTAGTGGCATCTGTTGTATAAAGTTGCGGTTGCTTAGGGTCTCGTGTTTCATGCGTGCTGTCTATTTTAATGCATAGTAATTAGCTTTGGTACTTAAATAATTAACTATTGACAATAAAAGATTTAGTAGTATAATATGGTGTTTACAAAACTCTGGGAGAAAAATTTTTAACAAAATCTACGACTAAATTTCTAGGCATAGATAATAATAATCCATCAAAATTCTGTATTTGGCGACTTGAATATATATATATATTTATATTTATATTGTATATATATTTATATTGTATATTCATCGATAGCTACTAAGTGCTTATAAAATTAATTAATCGACGTCATAGAACGTATATGTAATTTACACCTGTTAGATAGAATAAAGCACAGGTTGGCAATACTGATCTTGTCAAAAAAAGAATTATAATCTCTCAGATATGGCAACATTGTCTTATTAAAACATGGATATACAAACTTTTTACTAAAAATGATACTCTGCTATATCTCATTAATCAAATTTGTCTATTTTCTCTCGGTACTGTAATACTATTAGTAAATTAAAATTAAATAAAAACTACTATTTTCCTGTTGGCAACCTTATATCTAATAACCTAGATTATTTTAACATAGATGACATAGTAACAATATGACAGGAAAGCAAAATGTATAGAAAATTGAAAACGTCTTCATACTATTGCATATAAACACATCAAAAAGTCTAAGCAACACATACAAATTTCAATTTTACAATGTTCGCATAAAATCTTTAATATTTTCTTATTTATATTATTTTTTAATGCTTTTTTGATATTAAACAACAATTTTTTTTTAAATAATCTTAATTAACAATAATAACGAGTAAGTACTGTATCTACGTAGTACAATTACCTTTTTTGTTTGAAAGAATATACTTTTAGATTGATTACATAAAAAAAAATTATGTTAATCGGCTCAGTAGTTTAGTTTTTAAATCAAATTAATTGATTCGGCAACTATTGAAGTCGGAGTTTCTGTATGATAAAATCTTAAATAATTTTATATCAGTAAAGAAGTACTTACATTAAAGTAAAACGTATAAAAGTTTTTCTCCAATTCTAAACAAGAACACTGTGATCATTGTTAAGTGAGTTTCGATGTTTCCAATACGAGTCTTTTAACTGGAGATTAACTTTTAACCAGAGCGAGACTGTACAAAAGTCGATTGCTTGGGTACCTCTGTCCCATTCGTGTTTCAATAGTGAAACAGTTGTGTTTGCATGGCTGTGTTTCGGTTTGAAGGGTGGGATATGGCGTGAATTTACAGGGTACAAAGGAATAACACCCGAGTCCTCAGGAATGGTAACGCATGGGGGGTATCATGGGCGAAACAGTATACTCTGTTATGTCCATGGTACTGCTCATGTCTATAGGCGACGGTTATCACTTTCCATCAGGTGGGCCGTTAGCTTGTTTGCCATTCTAAGTTGTATAAAAAAAAAGAGATAGTGTTGTGCCTACTATAATACGATCACCACAGAGTTCTGGGAAAACAACGCTACTTCTTATAATATGTTTATTATAAGAAGTAGCGTTGTGATGATGAAAATTTATACAAAAAAATACTTTTATAGAAATTATTTGATCTCTCACCTTGGTCTATCTATGTGTATTTAATCTATTACACCTAGATATAGCGTACACAACATTGACTACAGATTACATGCATATAAATGTCACAATATAATTAATATAATAAATTAAATTTACAATTATATATTTATTATTATAAAATTCAAATATAAATATACATAAAACAATACCTAATAAACAAATGATATTTAATAATAAAAAACAAATTCATTTTTATTGAGGATCAAGATTTTTCATTCCACGAACATTTCAAGACCAGTAGCAAGCAGTGACCACAAAATACGGTGGGTACGTGGGTGTATTTTTACTGAGTACTTAGAATATAATGTATGCACATAAGTTCACTGCGTTGCTGGACCATACATTAATTTTAGCTAATGTCATACCTACATTGTATGACAATTGCAATTTTATTAATTAAATTAATCAATTAAATGAAATGGCAAAACCTTTCATTGATGAATTTTTATATCAAAAATATCCGCCTTTTTTATTATACAAACCTTAAGACCAAGACTAGCCAGTACTTCCGAACGCATACGACATCGTAACCTTCAAGAAAAGAGTATATTCCTTTTAAAAGACCGGCAGCATACCTGCAATGCCTTTGGTGTTGCGGGTGATCATGGGCGACAGTAGTCATTTACCATCAGGTGAGCTGTGTACTCGTTTACCCCCTGTGTTATAAAAAAAAGCTTATAATGATATTGACATGTTCTCGTACAATACGAAATCACTAAATAAAAAAATAATAATTAAAAAAATAACGAATGTCCACAGTCTCATTTGTTATTATGTAATCTGTGACATTTGTTTTATCCATGTTGTCTTTGGTTTAGAAAAACTTACATCTCTCTCTCTCTGGTTTGGTATAATATTAAGTGCACACATGTATCATTAAAATTGGCAATTATTAAAAGAATAAACATATATGTAATGTTTATTATAACAAACCCACTGCGCAAAACTCAATCAATACAAATTCTATCATCATTACATTTAGTTTCCATAAAAAATGTCTTTGCCTATGTAATTATTAAAAAAGTACAACCAATTTCAACCAAATTTTTCTTTTTGAAGTCGATTGAAAATAATGTCATTGGAGTATTTAATATTATTTTCCTCGGGAACTTGGCCCCTTGAAAACGCATATGTACTTGCAGACATCTCTTTGCGAATCTTTGTCCTGCATTGAGGGAGGGCACCAGACGATTCTAGGGTTGGCACGGCCTACTAGGAGGCTACCGAAATATGCTTATGAATAATGTCTAATCCTGTTTTTTCCACGCATGCATTATCGACTATCAAATTGTTTCAAAAATAGATTTTTATAAAACAAGGGGCAAAATTTATTTTGGTTCTACTGTATATTGCCATCTTATTTGTAAAATCACAAACAGATAACTCATATAGGTAATAAAAACCTAAAAATAGGTTTTTATGACCTGGTAAATCTAATCTAGACTAGTCGGTACAATATTTTTTTGTGCAACTTTGAATGGCAAAAAAGCTAACGGCTACCTAATAGAAAGTGGTAACCGTCACTTATAGACATGAACAGCGCCAAATTTTTTTTTTTTTATAAGCCCCATTGATATCTAAGCTAGTTAATAAAAAAAATATATTACATTTGATAGTGACGAGAAGATATTTAGGTCTCTCTCAGTATAATAACGACATAACGACAAATTTTTTTTCACATTGTTGAAAATATGACATTCTTTTTGTAGTCAAATTTATGAGACAACAAAATGGCGGGAAAAAATACGAACACAACAGCATTAAAATATTAGTCTCTTAATATATATTTTAATTAAAACGCCGCATGCAACTTGAAAGTAATTCCGAGATGGAGAGATAGCATTTTTTCATACAATTTGATATGTGCGAGTACAGCACAATTTAAATCCGATGTTTCGTCGCCGGCCATTACGACCCAGATAGAAGCCGGAACTAGCCAAAACGGTTTTATTAAGAAAGTAGTCTCGATATTTGATTTTGTATCGCCAACACTTAGCATCTGCTCTGCGTGACTGCAAACTATTGAAATTTGCATATCTATAATACTGAGTCTAGTACTACTAGATACTAGATAAGTAGTCTACTAATACTAGATATGTAAATTTACAAACCCACAGACTTGATCTTTTTAAATGTCTACTTACCTAATCGACATACCAAACTGAAACAGTTATAGGTAATTTTAGATATATTTATTTATACTTTGTCTACCGTAATGGAAATTTTGCCAGTAGATGCCATGCTTGGCAAGCAGATTGGCAATTGCAGTTAAGTTTTTGGTAATGTTTTAAGAGGGAGGCTGCTGTCCATTGTTCCACCAATAAGATCCCTTAGTCGCCTCTTACAACTACTTTTAGTCACGGGAAAGGAAGGAATGGCCCATTCTTGGCCGGGACCACACGGCATGAAATATATCAATATAATTATGTTTCAAGGTTCATTCCTGATGAATTCATCATGATGGGCTAACTGGCCTGTTTTCATTCTCATCTATCACCCTTCACTGGTGCTCCGCCAACGTATCCCGTTAGCGCAGGCGGGGTTACCATACCATTTTCACCCATTAAAAAAATATATAATTATGTTTATGTATATATTCTTACACTTAAATATTCATAAGGATAAAAAATGCACTTTAAGTCTACTCTTAAAAATATTAAGGGATTAACTCACACATGGCAATGAGAAAGGAGTTCCACAATCTGGCAGCATGAACGGTAAAGGATCCGCTTTAGCTAGGTTATTATAGTATAATATGTTATCATGAATTACTCATCTCCATTCAAAGGTTGCCTGGAAGAGATCGTTCTTAGCGATAAGGTCGCTTATTGTTTTCTCATTGTGATTATTTCTTGTAATTATTTATATTTATAATAAGTTTACTAGTGTAATCTTTTAGAGGAAACAATAAAGAGTATCTATCTATCGTGAAATTGTATTCAATGTTTTTATTTTTATTCTATTAAACACGTATCCAGCAACATACTTCGTACCCAAACTTGCATTAGAGACGTAGGCCAGAACTTAAATGGGATTGTACGGTTCAAATTAACCTCATGGGTTCCAATAAGTGGGCAAAAATCTCCCCCACTGGATGCCTACAATGGACAAAGTCGTCAAGACCGATCCAGGAACCGGTGACTTGATGACCTGGACGCATTTAAAAAGAACTGGCTTAAAGTAGCGTAGAATAGAAAATTTTGAAAGGCGATAGAGGAGAACTGCCCAGCAGCGGGACACCATGAGTTAATTAATATGAGATTAGATTTATTAAAAGTTTTCATGTTTTTTTCATGCAAACCAATGTGTAACCTTTCTATTTATTTTTCAGACCACCAGATTACACAAAAGGAATATTTCAAACGCTTGGATTCAAAGAATTTCACGATTATCTGATGCTTAATGAGGAACAGAAGGATACCGAAGAGGGCAAGAAATTACTGCAAGAAAGTATAGAAAATATGAAAACATCTACTAGAAGATACGCCCGGAGGCAGAATAAGATGATCAGAGGACGATTTCTGGAGCATCCATTCAGAGAGGTATTTTTAAATGCTTAAAACTGAAAAATTATTAAATCTGTTTAGCGCCATCTAGTAGTGAATAGCAGAATTTCATGTATATTATACATTAGAGCGCCCTCTAATGTTTAATGTACGTGTTATGTTAAACTGCCATCTATTAACAAATAGCAATATTCTATATTAGTTTCCATTCTTTCTTAACTAGATGTCACTTTTTATAGGTACCACCTATATACGAACTGGATACAACAGATATTACAAAATGGAATGAACTTGTTAAAAACAAAGCTTTTCACATTGTTGAAAGTTATTTAAATGGATCTCCATGTGATTATAAACCAATAGAAGTTATTATAGATGAAGATAAAAAGAAAATTGACGGTAACTCACGGAATTATTGTGATGTTTGTGAACGACTTATAATCGGGGACAAAACATATGAAATCCATCTTAAATCTTACAAACATATGAAAATATTAAAAAAGAAGAAAAAATTAGAAGAAAGAAATAAAGCAAGAGCAGAGCAGCAAAATTTTGATTGATGCATGCATGCATGCAGCATTAATTTGTTACCAATTTAAATTATTCTTATTTTTAATTATTATTATTAAGTTACTTATTATAAATAAATGTTATGATTAAAAGATTGTTTAATTTCAGTAATATTTATTTACCCCATAAAAGCTATCATCTATATTTACAAATAAATATTATTTATTTTTAACCTCATCTTTTGCGTCATCTACTTGTATTTTTGCTTTTGGTGCTCTGTTATCATAATTTTCAAATTCCGGATATATCTTAATGATCTCATTATATGCTTCACAGATTCTAGTAAATTCAGTATTAGTAATTTGGAAAGGCCGAGTTACTGGGTCTATATCAGCCATTTTATACATCTTTAAAGCAAACTCTTTACGAACATCTTCTGGAAATAATGTTTCTGCACCTCTTATGGAATACTTTTGCCTCATTGAAAATATTTGACGGACAACTTTCTCATACATTTTGAAGGGCAAGTTTGTTAATGGCTTTTTTATAGGTGTTAAAGTGACTACACCGACATCAACATCAGGCTTGGGAAGGAAAGCTGCACCAGATATATCAAATTTATAGTTAACATTGCACCAAGTCTGGCACATAACAGAGAGTCTACACCGCTGTTTATCCAAGATACGTGCCACCATTCTCTCTGCTACTTCTTTCTGAAATGTCAGGGTCATTCTTGTTCGCCCAAAAGCCCATGGTCCTTCTTTCCTTGAAATCATTTCTAACCAGCGTATGATTAATATTGTTGACACACTAAATGGTAAGTTACCAATCAAATTAACAGGTGGGGGTGATTCCATCCAATCAGTTTTAACATCTGAGGGAATAAATTGAGCTATGTCTGTCTTTAGTATATCACCTGTTATAATATCTACATCCACTTTATCCTTACATGCATCAGCGAGGAGTTCCAAAGATGGGATGAAACGGGGGTCTTTTTCAATAAGTATGACTTTCCGCGGCGCTTGGTTGATGATGGACCTAGTAATACCACCAGGGCCTGGCCCGACTTCACACACGACATTCCCTTCTATATGTCCAGCGGCACGTACTATTTTATCGATTAATCTCGGTTCCATTAAAAAATTTTGCGATAGTTCCCTAAGTGCGCGCAATTTGTAAAGCCTAATGACATCTTTGATACTTGGTAATGGTGGCAGTCGTATTTGTAATGCTTTCTTAGCCACCGCCATTACTGTTGTTGCACCTTAGCTGGTTCGTTGAAATCGTCAAGGAAAGTCTCCTGCTTCACTGCAAATATAGAATATAAATAAATGCCAAGAACTCCGGCGCCAATAGTCAAGCCCGTGTATCTGTTTCTCCTTGCAATCAACTCCAGCTTTTGTACGCGTTCACGATTCTTCTCCTCTATTATTTTCATATAATCCAGCTCCGCCTTCCGAAGCACTGGATCTTGCTTCCCTGTAGTGCTGATTTTTGGTTTGAATGAATCTCCCATAACGAATACTATTGTATTCACCAAAAATAACCTCAAAGCTGATTGAGCTAAGTAGTTGGTTAACAAATTGACATAAAATTAAAAAAAAAAACTAAGTGTGCCCAGCATTCAATTTACCACTAAAACCTGCAACATTGAAAAATGATAAAAAAAGATACTTCCTAAAACGGGTTTTTATTAAACAAAATTCTTTAGATAATAATATTTAAAGATAAGATATAATTTTTCTTAACTGAATTGTAAAATATACATTTTTAGGTCATTGGGATCGTACTTTTTTCATAATATCAAATGTTATACTTCCCGTCTCGCTTCCTCTCACAGATTAATTAATTGTTAAAAAGATATGTATAAATCAATTCATCACACACTCATTCATTCAAAACGCTCAATTTTGTGATTAATTGTTATATTACAATTGAGTAATGAATAGTATTTCTGAAATTCATTGTTTAAACAATTGTTACAATTTAAAAACCCGTTTAATCAACCATTGATTACTGTAACATTTATAAACTTGAATATGATTTGTGAGAGGACAGCTTGCCGTACTATCCTTTATCTATGGTATATGTTGTTTAACCTCTCTTTCATCCTCTACTTGCGTAGAAAGAGAATGTTGATTGCTATTCTTCATCTACCGGTATGACACGAGATGAAGTATACTACATATCTTTAGATAGTGTCTCCAATCTATGTATTATACTATATACTTTTATGTAATTATAAATTACTATAGGAATTTTATTGTAAATAAAATGAAACAATTTGTAAAAAATTAAATTCTTTGGAAATATTAAATTTTACGCTCTTAGGATTTATATATTATAATAATAAATAGACAATGAAATATTTAGATACGTACTTATACATCTTCAAATCAAAATATGAGAGTGAATATTTTATTTTGCTAAAATTGATACATTTAACATATTATAATATATCGTGTATGAAATCATAATAATATTTCAAACAATTGGAACTTCTATACTTAGATCTTAACCAAAATGTTGAAAAGCAACAAAAATGGAAACTTTGTTCTCGAGCAACTGCACCAAAGGACATTATTACTTTATAAGAACTGCACAACAGACTATTAGCTATAAAATTAATTGAAAGGAACGTAAAATGTCTAATATTCGGTATCTACCTTCTTAGTATTTTTTTTATGTCTGTCATTAAATTTATAAGTCGCACCCAATAATTTCCAATGCAATTCAACAACTAACTAATCTAGCAATTGATATTTAAGTGTATGTTAGATTTTATTTATTAACAGTTGGTCAGCTGTTTCTGACATATGCTGCAAAAATCAACAAAACAAAAACAAAGACATGCGCGCATCTGTCTTATTCTAAATAATGCCTCTCACTCTTATACGTTGTTTGCATTGAATTGGAGAACTCGCAACACCGCATCGTTGCGTCGAAACGAAACATCAACCAAAGCAAATGCGACCGTCTGTTTTGCGTAGTCGACGTTTGTCCGTGCGGTTTGGAGGACCGCTCTTGTTTTGAAGTTTGTTGTGATTTGTGTTATAAACAATATGCCTTTCATTTCAAAAGACTGGCGATCACCAGGTGAAGAGTGGGTTAAAACCGAAGAGGGATGGGAAAAGAAGAAAGTATTGGAGTGCACTTCACAGAGGTAAGTCTATGGACCAAAACAACATATTGTTCTTTGTTCGCGTTGAATTTAGCGCATCCAAATAATAACATACAATGCATCAAACTAATTCCTACTAGTTTTTCAATGCTTAGTTTAGTTTAATATCTTATATTTTTGTGTTTTATGAGCATCTTGTGTTTTGTATTGCAGATATCCTGCTCTAACTAACTATAATAACACTGACGATAGCCCTCAGAAATGGTAAGTGACGGTGTCGTATTTTACGTATTCATATTAGCATTTTATTGTCGTATTATAAAATTGCTCTCGATCAGCTGTTTCTGTGTTGCATGCAACCTGTATTGATTTTCTTGCGCGTGTATGCCCTTCAACTCAACACTGCTGTATCTATGTGAGGCAATAATAGGCATCTCGGTGAGTTAGGGATGTGTTTACTTTAATTTCAAGGACTTTGTAGATATTATTTTTGTATTTAGTAAGAATAGGAAGAAAACGGTTTAGGTATTTGTGTTATTTCTGTATCACAATTTCGATAGGTATTTACATGTACATCAATCAAAATAAACCCTAAAAATATTTAAAACAACGTCTCGGTAGCTACCTATCGGGTTGATAAGTATCTACAAAAGTATTTTTTATATTATGCTTAGGTCCCTACCTACTTACTCGCTTTTGCTCGGAACATCGTACCTACCTGTAGATTTTGGATTCAAATAACCACATTTATTATACACCATATTTTAAGTTAAACTTCCAGGAACACAACTGTACCTATTACAAAACGCCATTCAAGTTTATGGAGTACTTTTTGCATGAATCCGACACAAAAAATTCTAAATAATAATATTTATTTTACCTTGTTTTGCTCTTATTAAGATTTGTGATATCAATTTGTCTCTAAGGAAGGAGCTTTTTATTTTAATACATATATAATAGGTATAAAACTTTCGTACCTAAGTTGATAGACATTATGTTTTAATTTAAAAAATAACCGGATTGACTTAATAAGTCCATAACTTTCAAGTCATTCGATTATTTTTATAATTAAATTACGTTGTGGCTCAGGTTGTAACAAGAATTATGATGCTCAATTGCATGTCAGTTGGTAATAAATGCCTACACGTAAGCACCTCTATTAAAATTGGCAAAAAAAAAACAAAAAATGCATACCTATCGTGTTCGCGCCAATAATTCGTGCAGTATCTACATAAGAAATTTTAAATTATCGCCACATTATAATATTTTCAACCGAATAATTAAAAAATTTCAGTTTATTTTGTTAGGTACTTCATGTACTCTATCTATGAATAATGATTGTAACGTATATATGTATATATAGGTACAAGTAAACGCTTACTTGTAAAAATACTATTTTCTCAAACATGCTTGGAAATGTGACCATTATTTTGTCAATCTTCTTCGAGATAAATCAAAATTGCCGTACTGGCCAGAGACATGCGGGCAGCGACCGGCAAAAGTTGTAGGAAAATGCATATCTGTCGTGTTTTGCGGCCAGATAAATTACTATGTAAACTTATATCTGTCTTGTAATTTAAAAATGGAATGACCTTTTACTTCGAAACATGGCTACCAAGCAGGTAACTAATAAAAGGTTTTATTTAAATTTCGAACTGGCTTGCAAATAGAAAGCTGTTTATTGAAAAAAAAACAAAGGAACATTATGACGCGTGAAAAATTATTATTGTTCGTTATTCGTCATTGAACTTAAAAAGTAAAATTGTATTTTTGATTTCCGCGCATTGTTTGAGAAAAATACTATACAAACCTTGGCCACATCCAGGCATTGATGGACTCACGTATGTGTGCCTCGGCTGCGCTTCGGCCCACATTTGCACGTTCGTCCATCAATGCCTCAGTTGCTGGTCGCTGCAGTAATGTACTATTTACAAGTTAAAATTTAATCCAAAAAGAAGGAGTTTCTCTATTCGGTTATATATATATATATATATATATATATATATATATATATATATATATATATATATATATATATATATATATATATATATATATATATATATATATATATATATATTTTATGTTAAAATATTTTTTATTTAAAAAGATATTTACAGATTGGTCCTATAAAAATGTTATCTAAATCTGTTCAGTAGATTAATTTTTAGACGAAAATAACTAATTTCGTCACAATTGAAATAGTTTTTTTTTTTTTTTTTATTTGAGGAACACAATCTTAAATTATTACAGAACTAAACTGTTAGTTAGTTCAAAGTAAAAAAATTATACCAACAGCACATAAAACTCCATCACATACAAATGTACAGCAAACAAATAAACCGAAGGCACGGAAATTAAAGATTTCGCCGTCCTAAAAACCCGGTTAGCAGTAGCCCCCAATGATAAGATAAACTAATAGACCGCTAAATCGGATTGAATTGGTAATCTAATGGCGGAGACCGAGATGGGGGGCTAAGCCCGGATACACATTGTAAGACAATGCAGTCTACACTGAAGCAACATTCTCTATTTTTAAATTTAAAATTTCAATTTGATATAACAGCGGAATCATAATTCTAAGGACCGATATCACCAGGGGGAGACTTTGTACAAAAGTCGATTGCTTGGGTAGCTCTGTCCCATTCGTATTTCCACCGTGAAGTAGTCGTGTTTGCATGGCGATGTTTCGGTTTGAAGGGTGGGATATGGCAGTGAATTTACAGGGTACAGAGGAATAACACCTTAGTCCTCAGGAATGACAACGCATGGAGGGTATCATGGGCGAAACAGTATACTCTGTTATGTCCATGGTACTGCTCATGTCTATAGGCGACGGTTACCACTTTCCATCAGGTGGGCCGTCAGCTTGTTTGCCATTCTGAGTTGAATAAAAAAATTCTAATAGTTTTATATCAAAATTATTTATTTATTTATTTAACACTTTATTGCTTTATCTTGTTGAATAATTTTCAATAAATACAGTGTAATATAAAAAGTGCTTATGTTTCATGTCGTTATGTTTGTGGCTAATGTTTTGCGGGGCAAAAAAGTTTAAAGTTTTATTTAGTTACAGTTAGTCTTTATCGACGAAAACTGCAGACGTATTAGACACATCATACAGTTTAAGTGACCAGTTCATCACGTCGATGGGGCTGAGCTGTCCACCATTATACAGCTGGCTAATTTTAAATTCATTTAATTATGAAAACATCGTAAATTGTGATCTGCAAACCAAAAATAGAGTTGAAATTACAATTTCACGGTAGTATTTTTTTTTTTACATGAAACAATCGATTTTAATTCTGACAAAATAAGAGCGGAACCATCGTGAAAGCAAATACAAAAAAGAGTAACTCAAATCGGCCGGAAAATCGGTCTATACAAAATAGAGGGAAAAAACGCGCTCTGAGGTACAGCTTTTGTAATGTCGGTTAAATTATTAGTTATCTGAAATAGGTGACTTAGTTTAATTCTAATAAAACAAGTATGGGACCACGGTGAAAGTAAATACAAAAAGAATCAAGCAAATCGGCAAGAAAATCTCTGTATTCAAAATAAAATTTAAAAAAATGCAGTGTACTATTAACCTTCTTTCGTAATGTTGATTAAATGAATAATTACCTAAAATAGATATCATGTTTATATTAAATTATTTGAATCTAATAGAAAATGATAAATAAAACTTAATCCCAAGACGCGAGCACATTCTCTTTAGTGGAATATAGGTCATACTATTAGATTAGGTCAAGTGTACACAGCTCTGAACAAATTTTACACAGATAGAGGAGGGTTTTTTAAATGGATGATAATGGAATGGAATGGAAGCCCTGCCTTCTCTATCGGGATACACTGACGGGTCACCAGTAAGGGATAATAGGTGATGATGAAGCAGGTCAGTTAGCATATCATGACGAATTCACGAGGAAACAATTACGATGATTTTCGGGGGAAAATTGTTTTTTTTTTTTATTGTACTACCGCGTGGAAGTCGTCCTGACAGGGAATATTGCTAGCAATGCGATTGCTAGTTTTAAACACAAATTTGATGTTAAAATTACATAATATATGCCGTTTAAAAATATTACAAGTGTTAATTAGTCTCGTTCCTAAAATACTAAGCTCCATTTACGGGCCTGATTTCGGTACACATAAAAACACGAAATTGAGTCCGAAAATTTGGAATTTCATTTCATGGTAGACCTCCTGATCTGCTTTTGCCCCTCACTGGTGCTTCACCAGCGTAAACCGACCGCGCACGTGGAGTTATTTCATTATCATTCACTAAAAAAAACGGATGTAAGAATACAATTGGAGAAAAAAAAAATATTCAAAAGGAAAGTCACGACCTGCAGTAATGAGGAAAACGACACGAGGAAAATTAAATTTAGTACGATCACTAGCAAATGAAGCAAACGTAATTATACAGGGTTGGTTAGACGTAATGGATTAACCAAAGGGAAACCCAGTATAATAGTAAAGTATTCATGCAACTGAATAATTTGCCGCAAGAGTCATCGTTGAAATCTCAGTATTTCTTACCTTTTTTTTAGTTTTTAAATCGTATTAATATAATATATGAGAAAGTTTATAAAGATGTATGGATGTTTATTACTATCTCACGCAATAGCTACTAAAGGGATTGTTAGTAATGCGGGCTACCAGTCCCATTGCTAGCAGTATACCCTGTCAAGTCGACCTCCGCGCGGTTCCCCCTGGAAACCATCGTGCTGAGTTCCAGGTGTATTCATCACGATGGGCTGGCTGACCTGCTTTTTTCTTTATTCACCTATCATCCCTCACTGGTTGCGTAGTTATCACTCCATTCATCATCCATTGAAAAAAATAGCTACTGGAAGAGTTCGAATGAAATTTGATATCTACATAGATAGATAGATAGATAAACACTTTATTTGAGTCATCTATGACACACGTAAATTTACAGCAAAATTCATACAATTAAATAAAATTCATAATTATATAGATAAAATACAAAAATATATTTTCGCCATGTGTGTCGCAGTATTTTTTTTTTTTTATATAACTTGGAATGGTAAACAACCTGACGGCCCACCTGATGGAAAGTGGTAACCGTCGCCTATAGACATGAGCAGTACCATGGACATAACAGAGTATACTGTTTCGTCCATAATACCCCCCATACGTTGTCATTCCTGAGGACTCAGGTGTTATTCCTCTGTACCCAGTAAATTCACACCAATCTCACCCTTCAAACCGAAACACAGCCATGCAAACACAACTGC